GGTGTTTGTGTAGCTTTGTGTACATGCATGTGTGTGTGTGTGTGTCACTGTGTGTGTGTGGGGGGGGGTTGATGCTTGCAGTGACTTTTGTGCATGTGTATATGTGTATTGTGTTCGTGTTCGTTTGTGTGTTTGTGTGTATGCATGTGTGTGTGCATGTGTGTATACCTGTATATATTCGTATATGTATGTGTTCGTATGCATGTGTGTGTATGTGTGTGTGTGTGTGTGTGTGTGTGTGTGTGTGTGTGTGTATGTTTGTGCGTTTGTGTGGATTTATTAATAGGTTTATGTATGTATTGTTATGTGTCTCTGTGTATAATATGTACGGCTGTTTTCATCCTTTTAGGCCTAATTCTTATCGTTTGTTTTAGATGGGTTTTTTTAACAAGTTGTATTGATGCACTGCTCCAGGTGACGCATATAGCTCCTTCTCCGTCAAATCTCACTTTATTGTTTCTATGCCTCTAATCTTTTTAAATGGTCTTTGATGCATTGATTTCCGTTTCTTTTCTCTATACCAATACCAGAGATAATTAGGTCACTTTGAAGGCCAAATTTTTGGGGCTCGGTACGTACTTTTTATAACACCGATGTCTAGATTTGTAGAGCCTAGGGATTGGAACCAAGGCCATTCACACTGTAATTCTGCGTGATACCAGTCGAGTTAACATAATCTGCTTCTGTATTTTCAGCCTGTGTTTCAGAATTTTATTTCCAAACGGATGCTTTGGTGTGGTTTGCTCTTACTTTCCTTTCAAACACCTATCGTCCTTATCTCTCCTCCTCCTTTTTTGTGTATGTTATTCTATTGTAGCGGGTGGTTGGAAGTCGCCACTGATAAGTCCTACTGCTTTACTTTTCCTTTATTGCTTCTGTCTGTCTTTCTTACTTTCCCCCAACATTAAATAACCATTATTGCGTCCATGTGCTTCCATTTATACAAAAAAACACACACAAAAAACAAGCTCTCTTGTAACACCTCTAATCTGACGCTCTTATTGGACCTAACTGTGTTGCAAGTGCCGTTAAACATAAGACTCTTACTAAATCAAACAAAAGAAATGTCTACTTAAAGCATTTAATTAATTTATTTCTGTCCCCAGAATCTCCGTGGTGTTCCGAGTAAGGTCCGCTCAGCGTATCAAGATATCTGACGGTGACCTCATCAAGCGACTGCTGGTCATTGTGTTCATTTTTGCAGCCTACCTCACGGCCAGGACAGTTGCAGGCATGCCTAGGATTGTGGAAGGTTAGTAACGTTGTGTCTGTGGATCCTTGAATGTGCGTGTGCTTGAATGTTTTGGTATGAGAACAATAAAATGCAGAGAGAGAGAGAGAGGGGGG